GAGAGAGAGAGAGAGAGAGGGAGAGAGAGAGAGAGAGAGAGAGAGAGAGAGAGAGAGAGAGAGAGAGAGATCAGGAAAGTGATCTGAGGGAGGGAGTTATCTAGAAAAGACAGTAGCCCCTGTACCAAAAACAACACACTGAGCCTATGCAGATTTTATGCATACAGATTTTCCCCACTGCTTGACTGGAACTAATGACCTTTTTCATTTTACCCATCTCCAGACCCCAGCACCTCCAACTCTGGAGTAATTCACTCGGCTAAGCACAAGAGAAATCAGAACTACAAAGTCCACCTACCCTGAGTCCCAGGGGCCTTCTCCCTGGCTCTTCTTTGTGGAAGCAAAGGTCTTGTTACTCACCTGGGTCACTGTTTTTGAGCTCTTGGGCTATATCTGTATCCAGCAAACAACTATCCACACATTCTTTGGGGACTTGTTGGGGATCTTTATCTGGGACTTCTGCTGGCTGCATTTCCAGTAACTTTGTCTGCTTTTCAATGAACGATTCCATCCCAAACATGGACAGGATCTCTGACTCCTGGAAAAACAGCCAGTGGTAAAGATCACCAAGAATGCAGAAGGTAGAATAAATGTAGCATCTAGGTTTCCTATCTTTCACCTGCAAAAGTACCATGGGCACAGAGACCACTAATCCCATGGCCACATCAGGAAAGTTCTCATTCCTTACCCAAGTTGCAACTAAAACTAGCCTGCCGTGGGATAATCACGTTTGTACACTACTGGGCCATTATCTAGAAACTGGTTTTCCTTTTCCTTCTCATCTTATCATTATTGTCACAAACCCATTGCCCTAAGAAGCCAACATGCCCACTCAGAACCGATAGAAAGCCAACATGCCCACTCAGAATAGTGGGCATGTTTAGATAGAATTCTAAAGCACTCAGAGGAAACACTTTTTAGCATAAAATTTCAAGACTCAGATATCAGCCAAGTCCTTGACCAGGGTACCTGATTTTCCCCTGACTTCAGAGAAGCCTCCTACACATTGTATCTGCAGGATCAAAACCTCAAGTGTGATTACAGCAGTTCTTTGGGTTTGGGCTCTTACCGAATTGCCTTCCTGGAGAGAGTAGAGAACCCTATCCTGTGCCTCTGCTATACTCAGTGCAGGAGCGATTTTACTGGATGAAAACCTCAGTCTGGACCTGACACAGGAACAAAGGTAAAATGAAATGAAAGTCAAGATCGTGGACCCTAAAAAAGAGGCTGGCAAGGAATGACACCACATTAAAGCAGAAGCATCCACACTTACTCCAGGGGGGGTTAGTGTGCTCAGAACTACCTGGAAGATGGGACCCTGAAATCACTCAAACAATGTATACCTGGTAAGTCTTCAAATAGTGCCATATTTATACTGTGTCTATAGGGTGCTTATGAAAGGGTTTTTGTCAAGTAAAATAGTGCTTAGTCTGTCATGGCTACATTCCCAGAGGCTACACGACAGGCTTGCATAATACATTTGTTAAAGATTAAACAGACAAATACCATAGACTAAAGGTTTTTGTTACTGTTTTTGGTATCTTTTGGAGATAATCACCTGTTCCTCTTGTACTCCAAATAAGACTGGACAATCAATGCAAATGACAACATTGATAAATCAGGAAGGCATCGTGGTCATTGTTTCATATATAAGCACAGCTAAAAGGCTAAGTATTGAGACTACAGGAATGATTAGAGAGTAAGAGCACTTATTGATCTTTCAGCACCCATATCTGTGGCTCATATCTGCCTGTAACTCCAGCTCTGGGAGATCTGATACCTTTTCTGATCTCTGTAGGTACTAGCACACATGTACACACACAAATAAAAATAAATAACCCTTTTTATTTTAAAGGCTAAGTACTATGAAGATAGTATTGCTGGCTCTTAGCATGAACATGAAGATAGCCAGTCAGTCCATATTCATTTAAATCCTCTCTAATGGATCACATTCATACAAATTTGTCAGTAAGGGTACATGTGTTGTTCTTGTCTTCCACATGTTGGCGTGGAGTGCATCCAGCGACCAGCTGGGGCATTAATGTAGCAGCAGCAGTCAACCAGTTACTAAAATACACCCTGCAGGATTCCATTCTAGTCCTTTCCTGTTTATTGCTAGTGTAAGTACTCTGTGAGCCAGAAATGATGGCAAACAAATCAATTGTAAGCCCTAATTCTTAGTAGGAAAGAAATACCTCAATTTGTACAAAAAGAAGAGTATCCACCTTCTAGAGTTTTCCCTTCTAGTCAACAATTTCCAGTGAGCTGGGTCCAGGGTTCCCTGGGTGGGAGCAAACACTTGGAACCTCAGTGCTGCCTTCACAGCTGTTTGCTACTCAGACTCCTTGGGTAGAGTGCTGTGGAACCCAGCCTCTGGCCTGGCTAAGAAGCTGGCAGGTACCATGAACCTCCTCTCTTCTAGGGTCTGAGAATGGAATGGGGCTTTGACACCTGAGGACAGGGGCCCTGGGCCACTGAAGGGCTTCTCACTTGCCAGCCTTCTTGCCTTCTGTCTGGGGCTTGCTTTCATTCTCAGCTTCACTCAGCTCCTCTGTGGGGCTCTGGGGTTCAGAGCGAGGAAATGCTGTCTTCAAGGTATCCACAATAGCACTCACCACCATCTGCAGAGTTGGAGTTACAGGGTCAGTATGGCTATGCACATCCCTGATGGGCTGTGATGGAGAACAGAGCAGTCATCTCTCTGTGCTTCATACCACAGGATGAAAAGAGTCAGCCAGCCACAGAGCCTTAGCCTTTGAGAAAATCAGACACCAGCTAGTGACAAGAATTCATTTTTATCTCTCTACAGAGTAAAGACAAACAATCTTCTCTATAGAGTAAGACAAATCATGGGAAGGAAAAGAAGCCAAAAGCAAAACAGGGAGTAACAAAAACTCAAGCGAGTTCTTCAAAGTAGAGTATACTTTTAGTTAATATTTTCTGTTTTACATAAAAAGGTGATTCCTAGCTTCCAAATTGACAATACCATCACCAAAGTATGAAATTTCAAAGGTGTGTCAGGAAAAACAAATGAAGAAAAGAGAAAATATGGTGTAGCAGCTTAAATAATATAAGCATGCTGCAGGGATTCACAGAGTTGGGTTTACAGTCAAATCACAATTTTCTACTAAGAGAAAACCACCTTTGAGAAACAAGAACCATCTATACTTCTTCAGAATAAGTTGACAGGCATATATTTGCTATTAAAGGAAATATACAAAAGAGAACTATCAAGGAAATGGAAGTAAACAATGGTAATGAATGCTGCTGTTCCAGAGGAGCGCCAGGCCTTCTGTAACTCATTTTTGTGGTAATCCCTCACAAGAGCACAGCTAGTACAGCCAAGACATACTGGACAATCAGCAAGACCACAGGGAACACTAGGAAAAACAAACCAGGAAGGGAGCAGAGGATGGAACAGCATGAACATAAATAATGCAGCTTCTAAAACACAGCTTGCAGGCTGGGGAAATGGTGCAGGGGGCGAAGTCCTTACTCATGAGAACCCAAGCTCTGACTGCTTAGCACCTACATAAAAACCGGATGTCATGATGCATTTGGGAGACTGAGGAAGAAGAGTTTGAGACCAACTAGCTTCTGTCTCAAAAAGCAAAAAACAAAGGAACAGGCAATAACAAAGCAATCTCCCCATAAGGAAATGAGCAAAGAACCAATGAACACATCTGTTCAGAACTCTGGGGTTTTACCTACTTGATCCCTTTCTAGTTTGTTTCTTCCCAATAACAAAGGATGCTCTCAAATATCTATCATGTGAAATTCCATCTTATTATTTTCTCCTAGTCAAAACGAGGAGGCACACCTCCTACAATGAGTCATGTTTGCTTATAAAATTGCTGATGATATCAACTGAGGCTCCAATGTATTGGATTCCCCAAGCATTCTTCTCTCACCATCTACACAGGTGCTGAGACACCCTCTTGAAGAATGTACAGTTCTCTGCACATTCTTTCTCTTAGCAGATGGTCACTACACCAACCCAAATCCAGATTAACGTCCTGGCTTAGAGCTGTCTGCTGAGACCCCAATAATGTGAATGACTTATTTCGCTGAAGACAGCCCTTTTCCATCAACAGAGGTTTACTTGTATCCTCACATGCTTCCATTAGAACAATACCACAGTAACTCCTGGCGGTATATATACACATAGCACAAGGGCACTGCCTTCCAACAACTGCTCACTGCGACTCAGCAAGTTGATGATCCAGTTAATATTCAGCAACAGGTCTTGAAAATTTTAGTTCATGTTCTACTGACTCTCTATACTTCCTATACCTTCACCCTTCTTATTTTCCCAGCACAGTCTCCAGTCCAACACACATTTCACACTTGCAGATAGGAAAATGCTGAGTATAGTGGCTCTGTTACCTTGTCTATTCTAGAAACCATGAACGGCTTTTTGACAAAGGCAATCCGAGCATCTGTATTCAGTGCAAGGAACTCCTGCACCTCCTCACTGTTGGCAATTTCAGGAATGGCACAGAGTTGCTGCAAAAGACAAACATTTCAAAAGAAATCCCAGGCCCCAGATCTCACCACCTTGAGTTGGATGTTTGGGGGTAAGAATTCGAGCAAAGCTATTAGAGCAGATGCTGACCTTCAGGAATGACTCCAGGAGGCTCTTCCGGGCTTCTACTCTGTCACTATCCATGTTTCCAAATGGAAGATCTGGAAAGAGCTTTTTTGGACCCTTTATATCTTCAAAACAAAACAACAAATTCATCCATTTAGCATTCATGTAGAGGTAGTCCATATAAAACAAACAGAGTCACCGAATATATTTCACTAGGCTTTGTGTTTAGGATTTTGTTAATTTGGGGACTTACAATTGTCCCTGTGGTTGTATTGCAACAATCTACTCTCATTAATGTGGAGAGAACATACAATGCAGTGGTTAAGGCAGCCCCAATGGTCCAAGTTTAAGTTTTGGTTCCAATCCCTGCTATAATAATAACCTTTGACAAGAAACATGATCTGTAACAGTTTCTTTTCTTTAAGAAGGAATGGGCTGGGCGTTGGTGACACACGCCTTTAATCCCAGCACTCGGGAGGCAGAGGCAGGCAGATCTCTGTGAGTTCGAGGCCAGCCTGGTCACCAGAATGAGTGCCAGGATAGGCTCCAAAGCTATACAGAGAAACCCTGTCTGGAAAAAACAAAAAACAAACAAACAAAAAAAACACTAAAAAATCAAAAAAAAAAAAAAAAAAAAGAAGGAATGGTAGTATCTATCTCATGAGCGATTAGAGGATTACTTGAACTAACACATGTAAAGTGTGTAGAAGAAAACCAGACACAATTCTGAAGCCTGTCCCAGTATTAGCTAGGTTACATTCAACCTATCAATTATTTAGGTGATCATTAGCATCTAAAACAACAACAACAAAGTAGCCAGCTCCTAGCTTATTTGTAGTTAAATTTTATTATATTTTACACTCTTCCCTGAACCTTAGATGTGTCAAACAGCACACAAAAGGCTTGGTTGTTAAAGACCAGGATTTCTGGGTTATTTAAGAAGTATAATCCACAGACCTGAAAAAGTTAGTTTAGATCAAATGATTCTATGGGCACAGATTGTCTACTGTGACTGCTTCTTTTTAAGAGTAACCATGTGGGGGCATTGGAATAAAGCATGTAGCCAAGGACAACCTCAGAAAGGATTCCATCACAGTTGCCCACTCTAAACCCCACAGCTTCTCAGGAAAACATGGGGATGAGACACTCTCAGTGCTGTCTTCTCCTCCCCACAAACCCACAGGCCACCAAGCATGCAGAACAGGGTGGATACATATGATATGCAAGCTGGCATTTGGGGCTTGGGGAACTTCTGACTTTTGATAAACTTTCGTAGATCTGGTTTCTCCTCCAGGCGAGTCTGAAGATTCAAGAACTCCCGGTAGCGGCGGTTCACAGTGTGGTAGGCCAGCTGCTGTAGGCTGCTGCTGTTCTCAGCATTAAGGGCTGTCTCATACTGTGGAAGGAACAGAATTATCAGTGGAATCAGTGAGGATTCAGAAATCTATTCTGGCTTTAATAACTTGTTCAATGGTCACAACAGAGTACAGATAAAGGGAGAAAGCCATTCATTCATGCTCCTGAATCTACTGCATCTGACTGTCACCTTCAGTTGTAACTAACAACCCAAACTCCAAGGTGGCTGAGTGAGCTATACGTCCTGGTACCCTTTGCTCAGTCAGAAATACTTTTCACTGTTCCTTATGATTGCTTCTATCCAAAAGTTCCCACCCCCATAGTAGCTACATAACTCTTTTCAATCCTAAAGCCATTATAAAACAGAGGCCAGAGTACCTACAAAAGTGACCATTGCTAAATGACAAGAGAGACCACATCAGGAGAAAATCACTTTGCCATTACATCCAGTCACTAATGATTATACTAGTTTGAGGAAGAACTAATAAAGCCAAACAACAGATAATCATAACTCAGGTCTTTGCCTGGAATATTTCAGTTTTTCTTTCTGTTGCTTTGGGCAGATTAATCTTCCTAACTGTTATTCCTGGAATTGAATTGAAATTCTGTGTCTTAACTATATATTAGCTGTATCCTTAGACATCCCATGATGACTGGAAATGTTCTATGAGGTCAGTCCGCTGCCTGCATGTGCCTAAAGGGCCAGGCCAGTACATGGGAGTGATGATCTATACGTCACACTCCTAGAACGCACTGGAAGAGCATGGAAGCTGACTGCACAGTGGAAGACTTTCTGACAAAGAAGTTAAGATACAGAGCTGCTATGAGTAACTCCACATGTGCTTGCTCTTAGTAGAATTGGTTATTCTTGGAAATATTATAGAATGGCACATGATTTAAAACAACAAAAACAAATACCGAAAATGATCTCTTGTTGAAAGAACTTGAGCTGGTGTTTTACCATTTCTAGAGCTAGAGAAAGGAGATATCTACCATGAGCTGAGGTGAGCAAAGAAGTCTCTTAGACAAGTACTGAGAAGGAGAGAACAGGCAGAAATCAGGACAGAGTTTTCAAGCATGGTACACCTGGGATCTAGGATGCTGTCTGTGGAATATTCTGCCCCTTGAGGGACAACTTGATTTTTCTGGTACTAAGAAGGAAAAACTGTTCTCTGCTATCAGTCCACAAATATGACAAAAGTAAAAGATGAAACAGTGAGAATCTAGCATTTCTCCGTGAGCATGGGGCATGCCAGAGGGACACCTGGAATTAGGGAACAAAATGGTAGGCAAACTGTTAAATGTGACTTTTAAAATGCCAGGTCATCCTGTAGCTGCATTCAGCAGACCCCTACCCAATTAATTGGTTTGGATTTCCCAAGGAGTAGCATGTCAAGCTGGTACAATGATGGTGCTTGGACACACCAGTGCAAGGCTGGTTAACATCTCAGAAATTCCAGAAGGCAGGGAAAGTTTGACACAGACGCTTTCTAAACTTCTCCCTCATAATTTCCTCCTTAAAAATATTAATATCTTTCATAATTTTTAGTATAGGAAGGTAGGATATTTATATTTACATCACAAGGTGGCAAGTTCCTTATTCCTTGAGGTGTTTAAGCACAGACTTGGGAACAACTATGCAGAGATGATAGGAAGAAAGCTAAGAGTAGCAGATTTCTCCTTAAGCCAGGCTGTGGACCATCATGTTAACTGAAAAGTTTCATTTAAAAAACAAATGTAGGGGAATGGAGAAATAGCTCAGCAGTTAAGAGTACTTGCTGCTCTTGCAGAGAACCAGGGTTTGGTTCTCAGCACCCACACAATTTACAACTGTATATAACTCCAATATTAAAGGATCTAGAATGCTCTTCTTGCCTCGATAGGCATCAGGTACACAATGCACTTACATACATGGGCAAAATATACATATAAAATAAAAATAAGCACATCTTTTTTATACTGTAGAATCTTGGGATGCATTCTTAGAAATTCTTATCCAGAATTTATGTACTTTAAAAGCAGCCCAAGTGATTTTGAGAACCAAGGAAAAATTTGACTCTCAGCATTCCAACACCGAGCTTCTAGAGCTATTTATAGGGTTATAGGGTGAGAGCTTATGCTGTCTTCCAAATTAACGACACGCCACTCACACATCTGTTTAATTAAACACAGGATACTCTTATCTGCCCTTGCAATATTCGGTGTACTGACTGTGCTTTCCAAACTCATTCCCGGAGTGAACGACCACTGCTGTAATCTTGTTACCTTCACAGTGTACAGCGTGTATGGGTGGAATCCAGTACCACTGTGCTCTCGGGCAGTAATGGTGCCAGTAATTCGAAGGTTCTGGATGACAACTGGGCCATCTGGACTACTCAGGGGCTCAAAGCTGAAGGTGGCTGAGCTGAGAGGACCAGGTGGAGATGAAGAAAGTGGAACTGGTGGCAGAGTAGGATCAAGGGAGCTCACACCACTGGTGAGATCCTTTTCTAAGCATGAAGGTCGTGGGGGGCAGGAATTTTCTGGCTCCTCTGGCAAAGCTGTAAGAGGGGTGACTTGTTCTTGTTCTACATCCTTGTCTGCTGTGTCAATCTGGATCTCTGGGCAGTTAAGCATGGAGACCAGCAGGCCGGTGTCTGTGTCTGTTCCTGGAGCTTCCTCAGCTTCTGCTCCTTCCATACCTTCAGACCCCTCACCATCCTTAGGCTCCAGAGTCCGGGAATCCTCTAGGGCACAAAGAGCATCCTGAATCCTGTCAGAGAGGAAGTTGCCAGGGGTCATGAGCATGATGGTTTCTTTGCCCAGTTCCGACAGCGGTGACTCCAGCTCAGAGTCTTCACATAAGAATAAGGGGCCTCGAATATCTGGCTGTAGAAAATGGGGCGCGTTATTTCCTACTTTCCTTTCTTCAAGCATCTCAGTCAAATCTCCCTCTACTGCTTCGTGGCCTTCTTCAACCTCTGGGGAGGGGGCTGGCTCACTGCAGGTTATGTGTACTGGGGCCGAGACTGGAGAAGGAGGCACTTTTCCTATTGGCAGACTCTCTACTTCAACAATCAATGGCAGAGATGTGGGCACTGAGGACTGCTCTAGGACATTGGCTGAGCATGGGGGTTTAGTTCCTTGGGCTGTGTCATGTCTGTACTTGGAAAAGATACTCACAAGTATAATGTGGATCCAGTCGGGATCTGATAGCTTATTGATCAGTGGTAAGATTACATTGCAAGTAACGAGTTCAACTACTACATGGCGTCCAGTCCTAGTCTCCAGGTGGGGCTTGGGCACTAACTCTTGAAATAACAAATTCACAATGCCACGTGCATAGGTGATCTCGGTGGTGGGGCTGTGCATGGCAGGATGGGGGGTGGTAGCCTGGCAGTAAGCATCCCACAGCTGGGAGGGCTGACCTGAATAGCTCTGCTCCCTTGCAGTGGCCTCCTTTGCTTGAATATAGCTCTGCAGGTGACAACCACAGAGAGTCAAAACCTTCTGGGTAAGAGCATGGCTGTCCACTCTGCTAATCCGCCTTCGGAGCTCCTGCACTAAGCCCTTCATGGCTGCCTCCATCTCTGCCTCGAATGCTGGCTCCTGGCTCACTGAACGATACCAGGATAACACAAAGTCACGGATTATCATCTGGATGGTGCAGTTAATCTCCCGTTCCAGCTGCCTTTCTGCTTCGGGGCATGGAGGACAGGCGTTGACTGTGATGAATCGTTCCAGGTGCAATTGACCCGAAGCCCCTGCAATGGCATTGGAGCCGAGCCATCCTCCCAGCACCACCAACGATGCACACAGAAGTATCAGAAGCCACATGTTCACCAGAAGGTGGATGACAAGTAGCGAGCCTAGCAAGACCCCCACAACCATCAGCTTCCGGCTACTCCACAGATTACCGAAGACACCGCTGGACTCGGGGGCATTCTCCTGGGTAGGGGACACTGTTTCTGCCTTCATGGCTGAAAGAACTGGTGGTTTCCACAGAGGACAGCCTCCTATTTCACTTTGGTGACAGGAGTGAGAGCATGAACTGTCCCAGAAAAGAACAAGCCCGGGTGCTAGTAAGTGAACTCTGGACCCTCGGGACTACAGGCACTGCAAAGCGAGAAAGCCCTGCTTCTCCCGCTCGCTGCTGTAAACAGAGCCCACCAACTGGTCTCTTCCAATCGAGATGAGGAAAACTTGACGGCCTTCCTCATGGCCCAGGCGGAGAGTCTCTTCGTAGCCCGCGCGGCCCACGGACACTTACGAACACCGAAGCGGCCGGCAGATCTGGTCACACGCCGCCGGGGGCCGCGTGCCCAGACTGCGCCCCTGTCTGGTGAGGACTCATGGGGTGTTCTTTCCGACCTTCGCGGTCAGGAGCCACGGCAAGCTCCGGCAGCCCAGGCGACTGCGTTCCGGAGCCCCAAAGCAGTCAGAGCCGCCGGCCGGCCGCCAGCCGGCGACAGCTTCCGGGTCGTGGCCTGCGGGAGCGGGGTACGCTGGGAGAGCGGCCCGGTGGATGATAGTCACTGGCTCCCCCTGGTGGTAAGGAGCCGTGGTGACGGCGGCCGCGCACAGGGCTCTGTAGACCCGAGACCCAGAGCCTGTGCTCACCCAGCGCCCCCCAAAATCTTAAAAGTCTTCAGAACTCGCCCAGGCTCCATCAAGTGCTGTTTGTAAATATCTCTAGCTGCTTAGGTAAACTTCCACTAATACAATTTGTTTTAATTCTCTGGGAGGCATATTTTTTAGTAGCTTGATGGATTTTTAATATTCTCCCTGCTTCCTCCAGAAATCATCCCTTCTACCCTGACCTCTCAACACAACACTGTCCTCACTTCAGTCCACTTCATTTGTTCTCCGTAGTTGTAAAAGATAAGTATTATTGGGCGGCGGTGGCCCATGCCTTTAATCCCAGCACTGGGAGACAGAGGCAGATGGATCTCTATGAGTTTCAGGCTAGCCTTGTCTACAGAGTGAGTTTCAGGACAGGCTCCAAAGCCACGGAGAAACCCTGTCTCAAAAAACAAAAAAATACAAACAAAAAGGTAAGTATCAATTTGTGATGTGGAGCAGATTTCAAGTGAACATTTCCTACATTTAGTCACTGGATTAGAGAGTGGGTCCTTGTGGCCCTTTCAGCTAATTGGGGAAATGAGTTTACATAAGTGGACTTTCAGTAAAGTTGGTCTGTATGGAATATATTGAAATCAAAATCTTAAGTGTGTTCGGGAACAATTTAGTGAATCACAATAGTTAAAAAGAGTCTGTTGAGAAGATAGTCTTTGTACTGAATCTTGAAGGAAAAGAATTTTCTTTCTATCTGCTTCCTTTTCTTCCCAGCTGCATAGTTAAGCAAGGCAAAGGTAGAGATGTAGTTTATAGGTTATTCTCTAACACATTTGGTTTGGAATGTGCCTTCGCTTTTGTTCAACTTTGAATACATGTGCTGATTGTCTACTCCGAGAATGACCTAAAAAGAGAGTAGATATTTTAAAGAAAGTGGTGGTACCGACCATGTGTAGAAGTGTTTATATCTGTTTTGTATGAAGCCTGTATAGATCTCCAACATGGTCCTTAGGAACTGTATCTGCAGTGTGGTACAGATGAATGTCATTTGCACAGTTCTTTATCATTCTGTCCTCTATTGGGAGCCATTTACTCCCAATAAGCTTGAAGAGATCTTCAAGCAGATTCCAACCAAAAACCTTAAACCACCAAGAGGTATATCACAGCCACCTTTCTCATCCCCACCTCTGGTGTTGGAGCAATAGTTTCATTTGAATGCAAAAGAAACCACCATTTGCAAGTGGATGTAGTTAATGGCACATCACCTCTAAGGCCAACAATACAATTTAGGATCAATGTGTCCACTAAGCAGGCAAGGCAATCTGTGAAGTTAAAAAAGAAAAAGAAAAAAAATAACTAGTCCATGTTTCTTTGGTGAATGCCACTTCACTGCCACCATCTTCCCAATGGAAAGGAACATGAGAATGACTTATAGTTCCCCTGCGCCCTCCCAAACCATTCTGTTGTCCTTGGGAATAGCTACTTGACAGTAAAGTTCTGGGGAAATAACTATCCCTGCTGCCTAGTTGAGGATTACAGCAAGAAATTAAGTAATGGGGGAACTAACGATACCACTTACTACTTCACTTGCAAGCTCAGAGAAAAAGTTCCTAAGCATCACAATATGGAAAGTGCAGGGCAGTAAGGAACTGACCTTGTAAATGGGCGTTATGCCACCTGACCAGATGGTCTGGAGCACCGAGGCAGCCAAGAGTGTCTTCCTGATTCTGAAGCAGATTTGATGGACATGCCAATGCACTTGTCATTTGGATGGCTATGAGCTTCTGCCTGGGGATTTGGGACAGATCTTAGTCTCCAAACAGATTAATCATTGGGAGGAGGTGAGAGTCATGCCTGGTATAGAACAGTTTGTGCATGTGGTGAGGGAGGCTGACTGGTCATTCACCTCCTGAGAGTCCCTTCTTCCCTTTCTACTTACTATTTCTCAGGAATTAAAGGCATAGTGCTAGAGTGTTAGGAATGAGAAGACAGAAATCTTTAATTTACCTGAAGGTATCTTCAGTCTAATCAGATTAGAGACACATCAAAGAGAAAGGCATTTCAACACGATGCCATGTTTGATGTGGCATGACTTGATAGTTGCAATAGAAGACAGTAAAATAAAACACAAGCACAGAGGATTGGTAGTCACCTGGGGAATAGGTGGTTCATAGATGTTTACCCCTAAATTTGAAAATGGAAAAGAGGTATGTTTTAGGAAAATATAGACTAGGAAGAATGGGGGCATAGGGAGGGGGCGTCTTTTAGTACCATGAGAGCAAGAGGTACTGTGAGAAGGGGCCAGGTTGGAACAAGTCCATACCGTTCCCCACATTTCTCTTAAAAACAAGACAAGACAGGCTTGTAGCTGTGGGCCTGCATTACAAGAAACATGGGAGCCTGAAGCAGCTAGGTTGAAAGGTCTGCCTGAGCTACAGAGTGAGCTCAAGGGCAGCCTGAACAACTTATTTAAGCCTTGTTCAAAAAGAAAGAAATAATGCTACAAGTTAGGACTGTAGCTCAGTGGTCATATGTTGTTGAGCTTCTTCAAAACCTTATCTTCAATCTCTGGCATTGTAAACAAAAAGAAGAAGAACAACAAAACCAGAAGATAAGGGAACATACCAGAGAGAATTCTGATAATAGTATAGTTGAGCTGACAAGGGATAATGCCATAGAATTATTGCTGGAAAACAAGGGGTTGTTGGGGGCCATGGCAAAAGTAACCTTGGACCTGTAAGAGACTTGGACAGAAGCTGCCAGTATAAATACACTATTATTAGAAGAATAGCTGCCTTCAATCCTTTACTCACTGATACATAACATTTGGGCTCATAAAGTAGCTTATAGAAGGAAAGATGTTTCATGGTCAGGTTACCTAGCAACCCTTCCCCCTTCTAACCCACTATCTAACACCTGCACCCTGTGACCTTGGTAACCTCCTGCACTCTCAAGGACTCACGCACAGGGACAGGGACATTCCTCAGCCTGGTTATCAGGCAAGCAGACTCAAATGACCTCTCCTTTCCTGCCAAGCTCCCCGCTTGGCACCCCATATAAGGTCTCTATGAAAAATAAAAATTTGCAGCTTGATCAGAAACCTGTCTTGCTGTCGTTCTTTGTTCCCCCTGACCCTTCCATTCTAGGTTCTTTGGTGACTGCAGCACATCGGGGTGTGAGCTCACATGATTCTCCGAAGGTTGGAGCAGGGGGTAATGAAATTCACACAAAAGAAAGAGAAGGTTGGAGGAACCAGCTGAGGTTGCCAGGCATGAGGCTGTAGTTTTGTTAATATTTATTGTTCAGTTGTTTTCTCACAAGATGGTATGCGCCCTCATTGTAGAATAGAGGAAAACAGGGTTTGGATATGTCTGTTGCCTTGTTGAGTGTTTTAGAGTAGATAAAGAGAAATGGCAACTGGTTAGAACCTAAACAACTTGAGAAGTGAGGTGCTCCAATTGAAACCATACTATCTAGGTACACTGGAAATGAAATGAAGCCAGTAGATGCATGATTGGCTGTAAAAACATGCTTGAGTATAGTAGGAAAATTGTTTATGTGAACTAGAGAAAGGCTTATGACAAACTATCGATCTGTCTACTGGAGTTTCCTATTACTGATCTGTCAAGTTGCCATGAACTTCGTGGGTTGCAGCATCACAATTTATTCTCCTACAGTCTGGGAACTTAGCAGCCTCAGATGGGTTGGCAGAGCTGTATTTTTCCTGGAGTCCAGAAGAGAGAGTGTGCTTTCCAGTCCTTTCCAGTTTCTAGGGGACACCTGTGCTCTCTGGCTCCTGGCTCCACATTCCTGCTACCTCTGCTCCTCTGCTTCTGTCATCACATCTCTCCCCCACCTCTGTACCTCCTGCCTCCTCACAAGGACCTTTGTGATTGCATCAGACCCTTTCTTGTAAGTCAGAACTATCTTCCCATCCCTTAACCACATCTACGAGGTCTCTTTGATCAAGTAAAGCAACATGTTCTCAACAAGGAGGATCTTCTGGACAACACTGGCTATGGTAGAGCTAAAATGCATATAGATGAAAGAGTTTTAATAGTTAGGTCTGAGTGCAGTCAAATAATGGGTTTCTGAAGTAAGATGTGAATAAATTATTGAAATTTGGAATTTTTTAAAATATAGGTTATCAAACTCACTATATAGCTCACAAACTTGTGATGCTGGTGCCTTGGCTTCTCAAATACAGGGATGAAAGGTTGTACTGAAGTGCCTGGGTTTATAGTGTCTAGATTTATAAGGAGTGTGATCTAGCTAGGTTTAGAAGTCATCGATTTTAGGTTAGAGAGGATTAAGGATGTTACACAAGTTACTAATAAACACAGACTAGAAAGTTGAAGATGCTGTAGAAAGTGTAGAAGTGTTAATACCGGTGGAGAAAGAAGCAACATCTTGTAAACTGTGAAGTCAACTGCCTACAAGAGGCCATAAAAGCTTGGGTATTGTCCTGGTTCTGCCTTCAATGATGTGTTGGAGAATAAATAGCCACCAGAGGGCAGCAAGGAGTGTGGCAGCCTGAAAAATTGCATCGTATTTACACATCCTACAAGGATCTCTGTAGGGACTGGGAATTCAAAGATTGACTTGAGGTAACTGCTCTTCAGGAATTCACATTTAATATAAGAGACAGTGTAAGACTGATAACAGTGTATAAGTATTACAATGGGAATATGTCAAAATATGGGAATGAGCTGGACTGAGGGAATTTACATAGAAGAAGTGACTTTAGAGCTGGCCTTGAAAGATGGCTAAAATTTCCCAGGAGGGCAAGAGGAACAATTCATTATAAGAGTAAGAAGGACACTTAATTCTTTGTAAGCTTCATTATTTTACTAGGACTCACAATGTGAAAACATTACAGACTGAGTCTTCTAAACAACAGGAT